GGTTGAGTACCAGGTCATAATGGTTTTTGCTAACAGAAGTTTTTCAACGAAGAAATGAGGTATTGTAACCAGACACGAATTCTTTTTCAATGCGATGGCAGGGGGAGGACGAGAAAGTAGGTCGGTATCGAACCCGGATAACTTAGCAGATTTTCCGCAGCCGCTGCAAACGTTAGATCAAGACCGATCTCGACTAGGCTTGGGTGTTAAAGGCACTGACCTTCGAGATCCTGATATTCCCTGAGATTCGGAGACTCTTGCTTACCGACAAAACCTGCACCAATTATCCTTCCGCATACCCAAATTAATATCTCGAGCTGCAACCGCACGCTACTGGGTTTGATCCTGTAGCAACCAAAGTAAGAACAGTTGTCTGCGGAACGGCGGTTGCATTGTATGTGCAACATTTGGTGTCGAAACCCGGGAAATCGCTGTGTGACGATAGAAGACGTCGCAGGTGAAGAATAAACAAACATCACGTTGGTAGCTTCACGTCGCAGCGGCAACTTCAGCGGCTCCCAAGAAAATTATCCTCACGCCACGCCACGGAAGCCACTGCGAGACGCCATCATAACGCACAGATACGTTTCTTCGACTCATTATATTAACATCCGCACAACTTTAAACTAACTGCATGTTAAAACTACTCTACAATTCATTATTCATGTTCTTAAGATTACTGGGTTCGAGTACTGCGGGTTCCAACTTTTTCGTTGGCTTCATCTATAGACATTCGGCAGGACTCCTTGGACGAGGGATCGGCCCGTCGCAAGGCCTCTACCTGTACACAGGACAGCACAATACAGAAACACGCGGACAAACATCCATGGCTTGAGTGGGATTCAAACCCACGGTCCCAGCGACCAAGCGGCACAAGGCCCACGCCTCAGACCGCGCGGACACTGCTGACCCCATTTTCAATTGAAAGGTTATAGTACAGTGTGCGCTCCAAACAATTTTAATGAAGACCAGAGACCAGGAAATTTCCGAGGTCGCGGTCGAGGTAGGGGTGGATTTAATCCATCAGCGCCCGCACCAGCACCCGTTGAAACTCCACTAGCAGCTCAACCTGATCAACCAGCTACCCAGCAATCCACCAACGCTGGGAGAAGAGAGAATGTTAAAAATACATTCAAACATAAGGAAGGAACGCCTGATTTAAAACCAAAGGCGCAGTCTACCCAGTCATCGGCAGAAAAGAATGATCCGCTGATAAAGTCTGTTGCTCGTCCCTGGAATATCAGGATTCGTAGAAAGAATTGGCTTCCGGCAGTTCGAATTAGATTATTCACAGTATTTAGACCTTCTGAGGACATCTTATGATGAGCAAATTACATTCGACCGGAGTCTAAAGAAATACTCGACATTCGGACAGTTTCAGTATTATAGCATAATCATGCTCTGGAGACGTCTCCTTTACATCTTAGCTGCTCGTGGTTTTTGTGTCATTGAACATAAGAAAATTGAGGCAAAGCTCTTCGGAGAAATGCCCATACCTGGAGACAAAGATTTGTAAATTGTAGGAATTAGTGACTTGGTCGACGCTAATTCCAGAACATTTGAATTACTTTTGCAGGTCCTGCCAAACCAAGAGTTTGCGTCTCAGGGAGCGCAAGGTAGCTTCGGGATAGTGGATGAGGTTTTCTATGAGATGCTTCCAGCCCCACTGATACCATTGTGCAAATTGCTAGCAGATTTACAGTATATTGCTGCTTTGCGAGATCCAGTGGTAGTACAACATCCAGATTGGTTACAAAGAGATTGGAACCTCCCTGCAGGACTGGCACGACCAGCGCCAGCTCAAATGCCAACAGCCAACCTACTAGGATGGTCACCGAGGGAGAGGATGACCGAAGACGCACTTCAAGGTGCGATGTCCACACTAGATATATATATATATATATATATTGTGACGTGTCGTCATAAGTCCCGAAGTCTAGCGCTAGAGGTTAAGGGCCGCTTGACTACCCTCCCTGGCGAGGGAACGAGGACTGTATTGTCAGCGTTATCCCCAAGTGGCTCGTATTTTGTTCTTCTCGCGCACACAAATCTGGGCGCGTGCATAACCAAAACTAACCATTGCGCAATATACCAGAGAGCGAGGTAGTTGGAAGCCTGGCTTGGAGACGAATGCATGGCTTTTCAAGCTAACCTCTGACAACACATTAAACATGAATGTGACTCAGAGTAAAACCGCTATATAAACAGGAATTTATTTGGAGCGGACCAAATGGACAATTTATATTGTCGAAGATAACGTACATTTAAAAGCGTGTCTAGTCCTTTCATAACTAGGCCCCCTACATTAAAATTGTAGTTTATATCTTAACTGCGTCATGTTTGTGTTTAATCAATATAATTAATTAATCTACAGCCCCATAATATCGGACGTACAACGCATCACTTACAACCCGATATAAACATCCAAGCATTAAAAGGAAGAAAATCAAAACAGTCAAACGTATCAATATACGCGGAGCAGGATGTACAACAGCTTTTAAAACAGTTTTTAAATTGATTGACCTGATGATGGTGTAATACACCGAAACATGTCGTCAAATGTGAAATGTATCAAGATCTAATTCTAAAAAATGTTGTAATTTTATGTAATTTTAAGTAAATTTTAACAACATTTTAAGTTTGTGTATGGACGGTGAATGAATTATTATATAAAATTGTAGTATTGTACTTTATTTGAATGAACAAAACAAACAAGTAATAATGGTGATGGTTCTCATAAGTATTTTGCTGTAATACTGCAGTTCCAAAAATCTGCCAATAGCTGTTATAACTATGTATTTATATTTGTATTATAAACAAGTATTGTATTTGTGCTATGATCTGTTCTACATCCTTGGCTTAGGCCTATGAAGGATCTATGGAATGTAAATATATTCTATTCTACTCAGAACACAAAAAAATATTTTTAACTTTTAAGAGCATATAAATAATGAAAACTGTAAATTTCGAATTTATACAAGTTTTATGTATCTTGAAAGGGGCCAAGTCGTCGAAAAGTTTCACAAATATATATATTCTGAATAAATTTAAATTCTTTACTCTACTAAATTTTTCAAAATATTCAAAAATTTTAAACTAACAGCTTTGAATTTTTGAAAATATTTCATGGTGTTTTATGTTTGAGTTTTGTTGTGCTGGGTGAACATTAGTCAGGTACTGCCACATAGGTCAGTGACAGGTTGGTATATGTGACGACAGGTTATATAAATGACTACGATACATTTGACAGTTTTCAATACTTTCAAGTATCACTGACATCGAATGGTCAAGTCTTGGCTGGTTTACCGAGTGGCTTAGACATGCGGCGATAGGATTCGACTAGTTTCTACAGATTTCCGCATGTTTACATAGTAGCGCGCGTGCGTACATCAATGACCACCTCACTATTTTGATCAAGCACACCTCGTTAATACTAAATCGAGCAAACATTTAGAAAATGTTTTCACAGCAATCACCCATCGCATAATATCAGTACAACATTTCATTAAAATTATTACACAAATTATTCAAATAACACTAACATGACCATCCACTACAACGAGCTAGTCGAAAGCAGTAGTACTACAACTCACGACTTTGCGCACGCGTGTCGTCGGTATAAAACCGTGCAGAAACGTGATATCACAGTAATCACCCGTGGCAAAACGTCAATACAAAATGTTATGAAAATTGTTACACAAATTGTTTATAGAAAAATGTCCGTCCGCTATGATGCGCATGTCGCAAGCAGTACTCTGAGAAACATTATTATTACATACGCAGGAAATTTTAATGTGAAATTTAAAATAATCACTTACCTTCGAATAGTTTCATAGAGGCGCATGCACACAGTATGCCCAGGTTGAGTGCATAGCCATTCTTTTAATTTGTTGCCACAAATCAACTTATAAAATTAAAAAGCAAGTATCGCTATATCAATATTTACTTCTTTTCATGAAATAGCTGAATAAGATTATTCGTTAAGCAATGCCTAATACCATGGCATCAGAGTCATAATAGCTGTGCTGCATTACAGTGCATGACAGCTGTATTCATGCTTCAGTAAAACTTAAATGGCGACTGTTATTATAACAAAAAACAGAAGACATGCATATAGCACAATCACAGACACAATGGACATATTAAAAATAGTTCACAACAAGACACAGAGACACTATTGAAAAATACCACATACAACAAACATTCAAACAAAATATTTGCTTAAATGACAATAATATTTATCTTAATAACCCTATCTTCAATTCCCTTCAAACACTTAACTCCACCCCCAACAACCTATTTTCACTTACCCCACCTACAAACAACCACGATCAATAGCAAACCTATTCAGTTCCAACACATTACTTCTAGACGGACCTCCTCCACTCTTCATATCTGGTATGTTTTTAAATTAAAATTTCTCAATATATTATTTTGTTTTCTATCTTTAATATTTATTTAGTCTTTATAATATTATTATTTAATTTACAGACCGATTATAAAAAACCACTACAAACATTTCACCCACGCAAGATCACACTATACGCGACATACATTTACGAAACAACGATGAATGTGATAACAAAGTACAATTGATCTAGAAGAGGATAACTTTCTGATATTTAATGGACATCTGACGAAGGATTGCATTTAGAATATTACATTTGAATTTATATCAATTATACACCTGAAGATGGTTCATTGAAAACCGAAACATGTCGTGAAAAAGATGATGCTCTAATTGTAAATCGAACATTTCGATAGAAAGAGCATCATTTTAATATATTTTAAATATTAAATGTTAATTGTAGTAATAATATTTTAATGTTTAATAAAATATTTTATTGTGATTAGACGGTTAAAATTAAACAATTATAATCATCACAATATGACGCAACATTATCATCTCAGAAGAAAACCCGTTAATAGCAACAGAAGACCGCACATCGGCGATATACAAGAGGCAGATAATATTTAATGTGATAAGACGAATGTTTCGATTAAGTTATATTACGTTATCGCGTAGGAAAACGTCATGCTTTTGGCTTCGTGACACAAGCGTAAAATTTGGCGTCACACTACGGAGCGTCATGTGAAATTAATTTATTCTACTGTTAATGCACGTATTAAAACGACTTGCTTGGGTATTATGTGGCTGTAACTTGACGTTAACCATACTCAGGTGACGTGTTTTCACAATTAGAAAAGAATTTATAACAGCTGTTATTCATAAATCAGGTCACTGCACAGAATAATGAATTACTTGAAAGGGCTTACATTGACAGCGAAAAAGACTGGTTCTATGAAAATGCAAGTTGCTTTCATAAATCAGCCATTCCACCATCACCACGTATTATGTATTAATATGAAGAAACACACGTATTAAACACTACAGCTCTGAGCACAACCAACCGTGTTTGTCGATGGTTTCAATGTTCACTGATTATTCCGGTCCACACTGCATGAATGAAGTATATTCTATTAAAATGAAACACTTGCAGCCAGCAAACACAAGGAAGCGACAACACACTGCGCCATACTACATACAAACTAAATTCTACGTCACATGACCTGAAGCATCTTCACTAAGACACGGTCGCAAACTTAACGAACACAAAATCTATCACATGAATCATAATCTGCATTCCTAGGATCACAGACGCTTTACTGAAATTAGCACGTCATGTGGTTGCAAACATTCTAGTCACAGATATATAAAATATGAAACAGGATATACATAGCGCCACTCTACTCACAATCCCTGAACATTCAGAATATACTTAAATTTCATTTCCTTAAATATCTCAAAATTTCAAATATCTAAAAAGAATTAAATGCTGAAAATGTTTTTAAAATTTGAAAAGTGATCATGATTTTCGAAAAATTTGATATTCTGAAAAAACTGAAAATTTCTGAATCAACAATTTCACTAACATTCATAATTTTTAAAATATTTAAAACCTGAAAATCCTCATGAGCTCTGAATCTCTTTAGTTTTAAAAATGTTTCATTTCTGATGTTTTAGCTGTGGTTGGGTGGAGTATCATCATTTAGGGTAAGATTACATGAAACTGCTATGGCACCATGTTTCAGTTTTGACAGGTTTACTAGGGTTTGCTCACATTTCAAGATATAGACATGCTTGGTCATGAGAGCACAGGATTTCACATGTTTTGACAAGTTTCCACTGGTCAGGGTTTGTTTACATAGTAATGTGTGCTACAACAATGACCACCACACCATCACACCTCATGATTTTCAGCAAGCATTTCATTGGTACTATGGAGAATTAATTTTAGTTATGATGAAAAATTAAGAATATAAAGATTTTAAGTAGCATAGAATTAAGTATAGCAGTTATTAGAATTGTGATAAATTGTATGAATGTGCAAATGTCATTTCCCGGCATTGAGGAAAACAGCAGAGACTAGCTCACATTTCACTAAGGGGAATACAAAAAACAATTAGCAGAAATGCGGACATGACCATTAAGCAATCAGCATAAAAATTGGAAAGGTCAACGAAAAAAGTTCAGGAGAGAACTGGGAAACACCACGGTCAGAAACGCTGAAACTGTCAAGAAGTTAAGAGATCATTAAAGCCACGGGCAATGGGACACTGATCAGGCTATTGATTGCAGGTAAGCACTGAGGCAATGGCTCCAAGTCAAATAAGGGCACTTCAGTAAATCTTTCAAAATTTGCGTAACCCAACCTTTGTCGAGTAGAAAGTGAACTAACCTAAATTATGAATCAAGTGTTCATTACTGATGGAACTGATACGTGAAGTACCTAGACACAGAAATAAATGGTGTAGTCTTAGGGAACAATCTGTAGCTTTCTTGAAGGAATTCCATTACCGCTGAATAAGTTTAAGCTGACGACAACATCCTCATTGATTTGCCTTCTCCATTCCAAGCCACATTACCAACACTAGTAGGACCAACCATCTCCACAAAATATACCCCATTACAGTACTAATGTGTGCAGGAATTTAGAAAATGTTTTTACAGCAATCACTTATGGCAGAATGTCAGTACAAAATTTCATGAGAATTATTACACAAACACTGGAAGAATGTCCATCCACTATGATGCAGCAGGTCAACAGAGACATGTTCAGTCATCCAGAGCAGGCCTACCTGTCAAGAACAGTGGGAGCACAAATGCTTCCAGACTGCACCGCAGGAAATAACAGACTTGGAAGAGATAACCCAAAATTAATAAGAATTCTCAAACAACTTATTTCCTAAAAATATCACTTACTTTGCATTACTCGTTACTGCTGAATCTCTCCCGTTTCTAAGACACTGTGCACAGTCCATGACCAATCTGAAGTCAATGTTATTCCATCACCAACTCTGTAATGAAAATGTTAAAGGACAGGCGATAATACAGTATTCCTTATATTACAGGAAGAGAGAGGTAATTAATAACAACTGTTTCAGAAACAAAATGAGTGAATGAGTCATGAGAATTTACTTGTTTATGGTTCACTTAACAATACGTCAGTAGCTCAGATTATACAATGTGAAATGATGGCACTACTCTGGTGTTGTATCCCGAGCTGGGATAGATTGGCAGGGAGAGCGGATCCCTTGGGAGGCAGTTCGGGTGATCGAAGTACTGCAAGCTGGAGGTTAACTTGAAAATTTATTACAAATAAATGTGGTACAAGTTGTTGAGAAACCCAGGAGTCGAGAAATGTTGATCTGCCTAAGCACGGGCAGTGCCGACTTCTAACACGAGTCGAGTTCTTTCCAGCGTGGAGACGACCTAGACTCAAGTTCAGAGAGTAAATAAGGGTGGTCGGTCGTCTTGCTTTTATACACGTTTTATGATGCCGACTTTCTAAATATGGTTACAAAATAATAGATTTTGTAAAGCTTGCTTCATCTCGGTACTCTGCCACCGCATATAGGAACTCTGGCTTGTTTACTGTGTGTCCCATCACTATTAGTTGACCAAGAGGGATGATTTGGAAATCCAGTGGAAACATCCTGCTTTCCCTTAGTGAAGATAACTTGTTTGTAGCTTATGTTGAAATAGGATTGGGAGAGTACGGATTACAAATAGTTACAATTTCAGCTTAGTTCCTAAAGATATAGGATATACACCCTTTAATATATATATTAATGTATTCTCTATAATTAAGCCATATACAACACTGGCATATGTCTGGAGGTACTGAATAAAGCAGGAGTGATAACCACTTGGCAACAACATTCCGACTATAGCCAAACTTGTGGAATGGAGGTGCTGTTTTCCACAATCTCAAACTATTAGGATTCATGGCCCTTCCACACTGTACTATAATACTAATATTTAAACAATGCCACTTACCTCTTGCTACAATCCACATAAAAGTACTGTGTTTCTAGTTGACATCACGAAGTGCCCTCACTGCATCAATTTCAAATCTGAAACAATAATGTAGAGACCACTTGAGTACTAGTTAATGGCAATTATTGTCAATGTGATCATCAACATCTTCCAGAGATAAAGTAAGCCCTATACAACCTTCATGAAGTTTACATTGTTCTCTTAATTATGGCTTATTATTGTTAGTTAATGACCTCTGTGCACTTACAGAATCTTTTCATAAATAGTATTATGATAATGAATGAGGGAAACAGCATTTCTTTTAATGTCTTCAAACATACAACATTCTATATATGTACTGTTTCAAGTAATATTGAACAAGTAGGATTTGAGGTTTTCACAACAGTGAGTCTGCAGATGGCTGGCTTCTGGATTGCTGTGCCTGCCTTGTAGTCTGGTAGAAGTTTACCAACGTTTCAGAGGTCCATCACCAGGGCGATGAGTCACAAGGACCTCTGAAACGCTGCTAAACTGCTAGCACACTACATGGTGCAACAACTTAAAAGACAGCCATCTTCAATATTAAACAATTCCTATTGTGTTCAAAGAGTGCCACTGAGAGCTACACACCCACATTACATGCCCCTTTTGACCTTCAAGTTCTTCATAAACATGATAATTAGTGGCTCAGAATTTTAAAATAGTCAAAGGAATGTTAATATTAAAATTCAAACACATAAATTAATAGAAGTTTCAAACATTAAACAACTTTACAGTAAAACATGAAACTTGGTGGATTCTAATTTTACGTATACAAGTATGCAATCCAAAGAATACAATTCAGCTCTGATTCCATATCACCTGACATGGGTATGCATTTATTTCAATGCTTTTATGTTACTAAAAGTATGGTTTCTACTTTAATATTTTTATTTTAAGAAAGACAAGATGCAAGAATCTGTTAATAGGATGCTTTATACAACATAAATTATGTACCAAAAATTATATAATTTGATGAAGGCACCAAAGGTTCAAACACAGCTATTTAAATAACTTGCTACAGTCACAAATCACTTCCTTTATGAAACACTAATACGTCTACCAGTCAATTGAAGTTTCCTCACCATTCAAAATGCGCTGCATTGCTTTTAGGATTACCAGGATCAAGCAAAACCTTCAAATACAGTGAAAATTCTGAAGAGCAGACAGATGAACTATTGTACAAATGTCTGCTATCTTCTTTCTCCATGTACCTCTCAGGACCTTAGGTCATTAACGCTCAACATTACATAGTAAAGTTGTGAGGAGATCCAGAGATGAACTGTGCATTTTAACAAAACATTTGCATACAGGACTATGGAAAACCATGAAATGTTCTCAGTGACTCCCCAGTTTTCAATGACTTTGTTTCATTTGTTGTATTTTTTTCAAAGGGGGTGGCAGAGAGAAATTTTAACATACTACAATATTTGCACAGCACATTTCCTGAATGCAAGTCTATTGTCGCCAATACGCCATTGGTTACTTTGTGTATGCCACCACAAGAAGACTGAACAGAGGATTGATATAAATGATATCAGATTTAAATATATTAAAAACTAAAGAGTCCACACTTATCAGTGAATTTTTGTACTACACATACACCTTTTACTCATTTTTCAACATAGCCCAACTCTACTGAGGAACATCCTTGAAAAGCTTACAGTCACTCAGCTAGTCAAATATTATCCCAACTTGAATGGAACCAGATGGCTCACTATGGTATTCACAACAGCCTGCCATTGGCCGTTATAAGCCAGATAAATCCAGTACATACACTCCCACCCTATTTCCTTAACATCTGTATCTATACTGTCCTCCATCTATGCCTAGATCTTCTAAGCTGTTTCTGCCCTCCTGGCTTTTAAGCAAAAATGGGGGCTGAGTTTGCATACAATCCATTCTTGCTGCATGTCCCTCTCATATAATAGTCTTGGTTTTATCATTCTATTACTGTTCAGTAGCTAATGACTACAAATTAAGAAGTTCCTCAATGCGTAATCTTCAGCCTTTTCTTTCTACTTCTCAGTTCCAGGATGAAGAAACAATACTGGTGAGGAAAAAAACATTCTTAACTTTTATTGCCATCTCACAGACATATTAAACATGAAGATGCATTTTGCAACAATCTAATTAAACTTTGTAGACCTCTGACAAAGAACACAGTAAGAGGTAATCATAATATTGGTCACAGAAAGGCCTAAGTATTGAGGAGGACCATTAAGATTTCAGAGAGTATCTGGACCAAAAAGAGAGATCAAGACAAAAGAGAAGGATGGAGGGAATTCAATGAACAGGCTCCCCAATTCTCACTCATTAGTCAACACAAATGAGGCATGAGATGCAATGGGTAAGAGAAAGGCAGTTCTAGAAAAATCAAAGAGCATTAGCACAACCTAGGAGTAGGTAGATCATAGACCAAACTACCTGGTTACCCTACATGTGAAAGAAACACATGATGGCATAGCCTACATGGAGTAATAGAAATGTTCCACGCCCTCTCACCAACTACAATAAATTTTGTTGATATTCACAGTTTAAAAATTTGCCATCAAATTCCTCAAACTGCATGCAGCAAAGCTTCATAATGGGTTTGAATACCTGTTAATGGTTTGTCAGTGCAGGAACATTTCAATAACCACAAATCTAAGCACTTCCAGTCGATGACATAGTTTCAAGAATTAGAGATGAATTATAACAACTTTTATCATCCAACTTACAGGCAGTAGTTCTAAAATCTCTCACTGCAAAAAAAAAGAGGCTACTTTCAAAAGTACCAGTTCTAAGAGCATGCCGCAATATACAATTTTCAGCAGTTTCCTTTGTTTTGACAACAATATTCACAATCAGAATTTTGTAAAAATACCTGCAGTAAAATGTCTTCAGTTTAATATTGTCTATATTCATGAATTTATATCTGAGTTTCCTTTGTTCTCTAATTTTAAGCCAATATGCCCCTCTTGCAAAGAAATTTAATTTCATTCGCTCACTGAAGCCATGTGTCAATGACTTAAAAACAGCAAAGTGGCTTTAATTCGCGTTATGTCACCTGTGGTAACGAGCGCTGAAGACCATAACTAAAACCCGGGATAAGATGAATGGCTCTAAACAGGAGACACCATGGCAAAGACAAAAAACAGTAATAGTGTGTTTTCCACGAAAGAAACAAATGGTTTTCGATAAAAATCAACCTCTTCGCATATCTTACATTAGTAGGATCATAGTTATTCCACACTATTATAATACTGACATTAAACACTGCCATTTCCATGTCACACTCCAGCTACCACTATGCTTTTCCAGTTGGCATCAAGGACCGTCACTGCAACTGTCACAATTCTAAAATAAAAATGTACAAAGCCCTGTGAAGACTAGTTGACTGGATTCCTGACATCATATTGTGACGTAGGTATGCTCTATATTTGCCAAACCCGATTTATTAACTATAACAAATCAGTTTTTAGAGTCTACAACTACAGGCAACTCTCCAAATATTTGGGTCTCTGTCTCTGCTCTTGACACACACATACACACTTCACACACGCACTGTCCTTCGAGCCTATGTGGTTCCCAATCTTGGTGCTCTTCACACACACACTGGCCCCTCAGCCACCATGGTCCATGAACCCGATGCTCTTCACTCGCAGCCTCTGGCCTTCAGCACCCCCACTGGACACATTCTGGTTCCTCTGCTGCCACGGTCCATGAACCCGGTGCTCTCAACATGCAGCCGATCCTCACTTCTCGCTCAGTGCCACATCAGACCGCTCGATGGCTCCACACTCTTCAACTAGAGACCCCACATGACTCTCGCTACTTCTTCGCCATCAACTCTCAACTCCTATCAACTGTCTAACTTGCACTCGTGCAGGCGACCTTTTATATCTGCCGGCCCAGTCGCCGAAGGTTCCAGACCAGGATATCTGGAAGGTTTGCTTTCTTGAAGGTACAACTTCTGAAAGGTTTCCCTTCTAGTAATTTCTATCGCCCCCCCCCACCCCCGGGCTTCTGGAAGAGTCCATGGCGACCACACCTACAGTCCGCATCTGCTAGGGGAGTTAGGTGACCCTTCCCCTCCAGCGTGAGCCTTCGGCTCTTACGGAGCATACAATATACACAAACTTCAGAACTTCATACAATATACATAAACTTCAGAACTTTTGACACAAGTACAAGATCGTATTTCACATATCAATGTACATAAACTATAGATTCTGCAATACAAGTATGAAAAATAATTTTACAAATTAATATACATATACCTCAGAATTTTAAATAGAAATACAAAACTTACTTTACATATAGATTATAGATATACATAATGCTTAAAAATTTTCAGCAGAGATAAAATCATCTACAGAATAGAAAGAGTGAGTGAAGAGATAATATTTCAATGCAGGCTTGATACCTTTATATCATAATTTAGACTTTAAATTGTTGGTGGAAGATTATTAAATAACTTGATACCTGTATAGTACACTCCTTTTTTATATTTAGTAAGGTTACCATTTGCACGTAGAGATCATGTTTATGTCTTGTCTTTATATTATGTACATCTGTATTTCTTTTACATTTATCCAAGTTTTCCACCACAAATGATAGCAAGCAGAGCATAAATTCACTTGCAAGTGTAAGTACATTAAATTTACAAAATAATTTTCTACAAGAAACCCTGCCTCTGACACCTGCCATTATTCTAGTTATTTTCTTTTGCGTGTAAAAAACTTTATTACTATCTGTTGAATTTCCCCAAAGATTAATCCAAATGACACTACAGAGTGGAAGCAAGCAAAGTAAACTAGCTTTAAAGTAAATAAATAAAAAAGCACAATTTAAACCAGCATTAAAAAGATACTTAATTACACACTCCTTTTACTCTGTCGATGAATTTCTAATGTTTACAAGTAAGTCATAATTTATCTATTGTATATAATGGGTGGATTTATTTGTAACTTATCTCTACTTTATGTGAACCCTTTGTTTGTATTTTTGTGACATTTATATAATATGTATGTCTCTATTGTCATGAGTGGTACAACTGTTCTCATGGCAAAGCTTGCAGAGCTTAATTTGGGAATAATATACTCAATGCATTTCTTCCAATTTAAGGTATTGTCAACTTGTAAGCCAAGGAATTTGTTTCAACTTCCACAATTAGTTTTTCTTCAAAACCTATATTGAACCTAGGATATGTCTTGTGCTATACCTCGAATTCCATAAAATTTCAGTTTCGTTAGTAATATTTCATGGTTTACACAATCAAATGCCTTGGCTAGGTAACAAGACATTCCACCCACATGCATTTTATTGTTAAGGGCACATACAATTTCATTAGTGAAACTAAATAGAGCATTTTCTGTTGAGAGATTCTTTCTAAATCCAAATTGTTCCTCTACAAGCATGTTGTTTGAGTTTAAGAAATTATTTACTCTCTTGCACATAACTTTCTCAAAAATTTTACAAAATGTTGTCAGCAGCGAAATAAGTCAGTAGTTGGAGATGCAGGATTTTTCACTCTTTTTATATAGTGGTTTTACTTTTGAATATTTGAGTTTTTTAGGAAACATTCCTACAGCCATTGAATGATTACAAAGATAACTTAATGGAGTACTTATATAATCTACGCAAGATTTAAGTACTTTAGATGAAATTTCATCATAACCACATGAACTTTTTGATTTGAGAGAAAAAGTTATACTTTTAATTTCATTTGGTGTGGTAGAATAAGATTAATATTCGGAAATGAATTAGGAATTGTCTTAGACAAGAACTTCATTGCATCTTCGGTTTTTGGGTTATGGTTTCAATGCTGTTCATTCTTTCTACACTCGTTAAAAAGTAGGTACTAAAATAGTTAGCTATAAGTTTAGGATAATTTACTCTATCATTATTTATCATTATTGGGGGGCTTTCAATGTCTCTAGATTGTTTGCCAGTTTCCAAACAATTTTTACTACATTTTCAGACTCTACTATCAATTTATTGTAATGTATGTGTTTAGCTTCTTTAATAACTTGAGTTAAAATGTTGCAATATTTTCTATAGTGTTGCTTCAGTAGTTGGTTATTACTGGTCCTGCTATTTAGGTAAAGAGCTTGCTTATATATGCATGATGTTTTGATGCCTTTAGTTATCCAAACATTGGTTTCGGACAATTTTTTCTCTGTTCTGGTAGGAAAACTTTTTTCAAATATGCTGAAAAAGATGTTTAGAGAAGAACTGAACTTCGAATCCATATCACCACCATTGAGTAATAATTCTCTATCTTCACAATGAGATGTTGAATAAATTCATTTAAAGTGATTTCATTCATCATGCTAGTTACCTTCTTATCATTGTGAAAGTTAGAAATAAGGTTTATGTTTTTTATAACTAATAGCTGAGCATCATGATCAGATAGCCCATTTATTACTGGTTTAATGGAAATGTATTCTAACCTATAAATATCTACAAAAATATTATCGATGGCAGAGTTGGAGCTATTTTGAATTCTTGTGGGTAAACTAACTATAGGTGTAAGATTAAACGTTGCTAAAAGATAATTTAGACATTGCTTATAGCAGCTTTCAGACAGATAGTCAATATTTATATCCCCACAGATGACAAATTTCATTTTCGGTTTTAAAGGCAGTCCATATTGCTGTTAACTCGTTAATAAATGTTTCAAAGTCACCTGTTGGTGCTCTGTGTATCAACATTAAGCGTGTTACACATACATTTCCAATCAGTCCTATTGTGAAGATTGTAACATGCGTTAAAACCATGAACTGAAGTAGCTAAATATTTCGAAACGCGTGATTCCAGTAAAGTTCTTTCACTTCTCTGAATGGTATGTGTATCATATGTCTGTACAATACCCACAATATTTATGCATAAACGTACTCTGTCATCTTTGTCCAGGCCACATATATTAGAATACGGCGCCTAGTGCAATTATGACGCTGCTGTTGAGTGATGTGGCAATCCGGGGGGTAGCAACTCAGCTTTGACAAACATTGACGATACATTACTTGACTAAAATCCTAACCTAGTCATCAGCCTTCGGAGACCAACAAAGTTAACCATCAATGCAGTCAATGTTTCGCGATGTTCTCTCCTTCATTGTCCACAGCCCCCACCACTCCAAAGCCACATGGGCACAAAACACCGCATAAATTTAACTATCAATTAACAAATCTTGGCATAAGTTGCAATGTCTGAAAAATAACCGAATGACAATGGAAGAAGTACACTGCTTACCTCAAGTCCCTTACAGCAAGAAATTTTCTGATTTAATACCTGGCACCAAACTAACAACTTCATGCCATGGAACCGCGTCCCTTCCACAATGGCACAGCTGAACTTCTATTCGCTAAGATTCACATTTTGTCGCACTCCAAAGACTATGAGATACTACAAATTATTCTTCCGTACCATCAAATGATTCAGTTTCTCTGATTTTCGCCACGGTGACATCTACTAGTAATCTCGTGAAGTACGTGTTGTGAAGAATTTTTAAAATCGCTGGTGGTATAGAAGAACGATACTAGTGCACAAGTCCTGTAGTTCAAAATCAAGCGGATTCTTGTAAAATGCAAGTCTATGTGGATTCCTAAATATCAGGAAATGACATTTGCAATTTACACGTTCTTAAAATTACGCATATTTTTAATATCCTCCTTACTTAGTTCTGTACAACTTAAAACCTTTTAAAATCTTCACATTCTTAACTGAACAGTTTCTTAACTAAAACTAATTATCTACAATAGCAAACTGTTTGCCAGATTCTAGTGTTTTCACTGATTGGTTTGGCACTCTTTATTGTTTGTTACCCACAGCCCATGAAAGAACATGTCAGTAAACTTGTACTGTAAGGATGATTGATTAGTATATTTTGCCTATTTTCATGCTATGAGGTATGGAGTAATTTTTTGGGGTAATTCATCAAACAGCAAAAAGATATTCACTTTACAAAAGATAATTATTAGATTAATGTCTGGTGTAAAATCTATGAATTCACGTAGAAGTCTATTTAAGAGATTAGAGATCTTAGCTCCTCCTTGTGAATACATATGCTCATTAATGAACTTTATTGTAAATAACCAAGTACTTTTTCAAACTAATTCTGCTGTACATAGTGACAACACAAGGAATAAGAATCAGCTTTATAGACAAGTTGCCAACCTCTCATGCTTTCAGAAGAGTGCATATTATGCAGGAATCAAAATTTTCAACAGTCTACCATCAAATCTCACAAGTCTTGTGAATAAAAAGGCGCAATTTAATGTAGCATTAAAAATATACTTAATCACACACTCCTTTTACTCTGTCAATGAATTTAGGTTGTTTACAAATAAGTGATAAATTATCTTGTGTGTGTAATGGGTAGATCTAATTGTAACTTATCATTACATTAGGTGAACCCTTTGTTTGTATTATGTGAAATTTATATAATAGTATGAATTGTACTTGACAATATGTATTGTATTGTGACGTAGGTTGGAACACCCTTTATTGTCAACCCTGATTTATTAACGTTAAATCAAATCAGTTTATAGAGGTCTACATTTACAGGCAACTCTCCTCTACAACAGTATCTGGGTCTCTGCTCTTGACATGCACACGCACTGTCCTTCGAGCCTATCTCTTCTCGAGCTTGGCGCTCTTCACACACACACGTCGGCCCGTAGCACCCCATTGGACACACTCTGGCTCCTCAGCCACAACGGTCCACGAACCCGGTGCTCTTAACTCGCAGCCTCCGGCCCTCAGCACCCCACTGGACACGCTGGCCCCTCTGCCACCACGGTCCACAAACCCGGTGCTCTCAACATGCAGCCTTCAGCCTATAGCACCCCACTGGACACACGCTGGCTCCTCAGCCGCCATGGTCCACGAACCCGGTGCTTCTCACACGCTGCAGACCCCTTCTTGTTCAGCGCCACACCAGACCGCTTGATGGCTCCACACACTTGACTCACATCACTCTTATCAACAACTCGCTCCTCTCACTTATCAACAGTCTCCACTCCTTTCAACAACTTATCCACTCGCGCTCGGGCAGGCGACCTTTTTATATTCGGCGGCCGAGCAGGAAGTCTGGAAGGTACGCTTCCTGGAAAGCACGACTTCTGGTAGTTTCTACCATCCCTCGGGAGGGGAATACGGCGTCTAGAGCATTCCATGGCTGCCACACCTACAGTCAACATCTGCTAGCCAGGGAGGGGTGTCAAGTGGCCCTTCCCCTCCAGCGCGAGTCTTTGGCTCTTATGACACCACGTTACAGTATTATTATTATGACTTTTTCCACATCATGTTGTCATCTGACTATCTTATGGATCTATGGAATGTAATAGAATATGTATATATGTACATAATGAGCAGGTAGCTTTACAACTTAAAACCTTTTAAAATCTTCACATTCTTAACTGAACAGTTTCTTAACTAAAACTAATTATCTACAATAGCAAACTGTTTGCCAGATTCTAGTGTTTTCACTGATTGGTTTGGCACTCTTTATTGTTTGTTACCCACAGCCCATGAAAGAACATGTCAGTAAACTTGTACTGTAAGGATGATTGATTAGTATATTTTGCCTATTTTCATGCTATGAGGTATGGAGTAATTTTTTGGGGTAATTCATCAAACAGCAAAAAGATATTCACTTTACAAAAGATAATTATTAGATTAATGTCTGGTGTAAAATCTATGAATTCACGTAGAAGTCTATTTAAGAGATTAGAGATCTTAGCTCCTCCTTGTGAATACATATGCTCATTAATGAACTTTATTGTAAATAACCAAGTACTTTTTCAAACTAATTCTGCTGTACATAGTGACAACACAAGGAATAAGAATCAGCTTTATAGACAAGTTGCCAACCTCTCATGCTTTCAGAAGAGTGCATATTATGCAGGAATCAAAATTTTCAACAGTCTACCATCAAATCTCACAAGTCTTGTGAATAAAAAGGCGCAATTTAATGTAGCATTAAAAATATACTTAATCACACACTCCTTTTACTCTGTCAATGAATTTAGGTTGTTTACAAATAAGTGATAAATTATCTTGTGTGTGTAATGGGTAGATCTAATTGTAACTTATCATTACATTAGGTGAACCCTTTGTTTGTATTATGTGAAATTTATATAATAGTATGAATTGTACTTGACAATATGTATTGTATTGTGACGTAGGTTGGAACACCCTTTATTGTCAACCCTGATTTATTAACGTTAAATCAAATCAGTTTATAGAGGTCTACATTTACAGGCAACTCTCCTCTACAACAGTATCTGGGTCTCTGCTCTTGACATGCACACGCACTGTCCTTCGAGCCTATCTCTTCTCGAGCTTGGCGCTCTTCACACACACACGTCGGCCCGTAGCACCCCATTGGACACACTCTGGCTCCTCAGCCACAACGGTCCACGAACCCGGTGCTCTTAACTCGCAGCCTCCGGCCCTCAGCACCCCACTGGACACGCTGGCCCCTCTGCCACCACGGTCCACAAACCCGGTGCTCTCAACATGCAGCCTTCAGCCTATAGCACCCCACTGGACACACGCTGGCTCCTCAGCCGCCATGGTCCACGAACCCGGTGCTTCTCACACGCTGCAGACCCCTTCTTGTTCAGCGCCACACCAGACCGCTTGATGGCTCCACACACTTGACTCACATCACTCTTATCAACAACTCGCTCCTCTCACTTATCAACAGTCTCCACTCCTTTCAACAACTTATCCACTCGCGCTCGGGCAGGCGACCTTTTTATATTCGGCGGCCGAGCAGGAAGTCTGGAAGGTACGCTTCCTGGAAAGCACGACTTCTGGTAGTTTCTACCATCCCTCGGGAGGGGAATACGGCGTCTAGAGCATTCCATGGCTGCCACACCTACAGTCAACATCTGCTAGCCAGGGAGGGGTGTCAAGTGGCCCTTCCCCTCCAGCGCGAGTCTTTGGCTCTTATGACACCACGTTACAGTATTATTATTATGACTTTTTCCACATCATGTTGTCATCTGACTATCTTATGGATCTATGGAATGTAATAGAATATGTATATATGTACATAATGAGCAGGTAGCTTCATAATTTGTACTTTTCACCAAACATTATTTTGGTTAACATCGGAAGCAGGATGGGCATTGTACAGGGTAGGTGAGAAATGTCTACAAATATGTACACTTAAAGGGAAGAGACACTCAGGAGAATGAACACAGATGGGAGGATAGTTTGAAAACGGATCTTAAAGGAACAGGGTGTATGGATGTGGACTTAATTCATGTGTTTCAGTAAACAGTCAAGTGGTGAACTCCTGTGAACAAGGTGGTGCACATTTGGATTTGTAAAAGGAGGGGTATTTTCAGACTGGCTGAGCAACTATTACTTACTCATTAAGGTATCTGCTCCATGGAGTTACTGAAGTTTGATTCCCAGTGAAAAATGTACCAGGTTATATATGTAGTAATTCATTCTGCTATTATGTACTCTAAGTATTCATACTTAAAATTATGTTGTTTACATAGTGTTTTATTAATGTGGTACACACGTTCCTGTCATATATATAGCAATTTCATCATTTAGCATAAAGCTCATTAATTAGTAGGGGGATGGTAATTTATGACAGATACACAAGAAAATGGAAAGAAAAAAAAATGGCAAAATCTCAGTTCTAAGCCATCTACATGTTAAATTAACACCAGAGAAACAACTTAAAGTCTTAGTCAGCCCTCACAGTTTGTACTATCAAGATGATCAATCAGAAGTGACAGAAATTCATACAAGATTTTGTTAAGAAAACCTCAAGGGAAAGAAATGTATATATATTGCAGAATGGTATTGAAACAGAACTCTTTAGAGAACTAAGTTGTGGTAGAGATGTAAACAGGCTCAGGATAAGATCCAATGTGGGATTCTGTGATGAAGATATCTTATTTGGACAGTTATAGAATTTATTGTTGAAATGATGTGTACTGTTTTTCATAACATGGAGATGTTTATTATGTACTGAGATATATAAAGGCTGAATTGTTGTAGATAAGTGTTTGAAAAGGAATTCCCTCCCTAAACTAGTAATACAACTGTTATGAAAAAATATTTCTAATGAGAAGTTTTCTATGGTTCATCTTTCACTAATGACTAATCATCATCTTCTACTTTTTATGTAGGTGAGTGAAGGTAAACTTCTGCAGCTGTAATTCCATTAAGTTGGTATTCAGACAAAGTGCAGATTACA